GAGAGGAGGCTACCATGTTAAATGTATTTGTTAGGGGGTATGATCAAAACATTAAAAATACTAACAAAGGTTTAAGGAACAAGTCTGTATCTGAGCTAACACAATGAAAAGTTGCCCATGTAGGTGATCTTGTGGCTTTCCTTTTGACTTCAGAATACAACATTGTTTCTGTTGCCTTACCATAAATGTAATTGCCCTGCAGATACAGAAAGGGTGTCTTTTTCTGTTTGGGCAAGCAATTGTGTAACCACAAAATCAGAGGCTTACTCTAATAAAGTATTTATTTCTTCATTCATATTATTTTGTATTGTTTTGTGATTATGCAGCTGTTTCCTAGAGTGCTGTTGACAGGGACATTCTCCCTGCAGTAGCTTTCTTCTACAGGACTCTTGGAACATGTTCCCTTTACCTGGGAGAAGACACAAATCACTTCCATTCACAAAGCTTTAAAGCAGTGTTTTCAACCTGTGAGGTCACAATCAGATATCCTGCTTATCAGATATTTACATTATAATTCATAACAGTAAAAATTAGTTATGGAGTAGCAACCAAATAATTTTATGGTTGGGGCTCACCAACCATATTAAAGTGTCACATCATTAGGAAGGTTGAGAACCACTGCCTTAGAACTGATCAGATGGCCCCATCATCTGTAAGGATCGTGGCACTGCTTATTTAGGTGCTTCCCTCTGCTAAGCTGAGGTTAATTTTCATATAGTTAAAAAAATAAAAGTCTAATTTTTTTTAACTCATTGCAAGTACAGACCTGTCATCCTGTTTTTTCCTACTGTCATTGAGAGATTTTCCTGTGCTACATCCTAGTACTCCATTTTTTTAGTTTCTTTTGTGAAGTAAACTAGTGGGAGATCTGTATTCGTGTTCTAAAGTTGTGCTTCCAGGCACAAAAATAAGAGTGTAAAGGATATGGGTGCATTCTTTACCCACACCTGCCATGACTAACATTTTACCCAGTGTACCCATGTTTTATGTGTGTACATACTTCCTTCTCTATCTTGAGGGTGTGCAATGCCCATATGCCTCCTGCTGTGATACCTGCTTTGCTCACCTGTATGGAGTGTTCAGGCAATATATGGGGAGATATTTGTGATTAAGTATTCTACTCAAAATTCCAGCCCTGTATTTGTCATTCATTGACAACTGCCCAAATCAAGTCCTTAAGGTGAAGTTTACAAAGTGATTTTCCCTCCAGTTTATTAGTTAATCCCAGCATTCTACGAGCTTGCTCTCTTTTGTTACTTGTCTTTGATACTAGAATGGACCATGGATTTCTCAAGTAGTACGTATCTTTCAAGTAGATTCAGATCCAAGAGCCCAGTAAGCCAATAAACTGAACTTCCCTGTACATCTGTCTGTAGCTACCCTGGAAGAAGCAGGAGAGAGGACGAGTCATGTTTCAAAGGAGGTCAGAAGAGCAGAACAAAGGACTAACTATTGAATTGCTGTGTCTCCTACAGTGGCTACATGTGTCCAGTTAGCACTTGAAATGTAGTTCGGATGAACTGATGTGCTGCAAGTGATCAGCCTATACACATTTTTTGTATGTTAGAATGGTAACATGGAACATACATGGATAATTATTAAGCTAATTGTACCTGCTACTTGAGAAGTTTTATTGTTATGTGGATTTGGGTTTTTTTTTTTTTTTTTGTGGTAGTTTTTTTGAGCCGATGTCTCATAGCTCAGCCTTGCCTCAGACTTGCAAAATGATTGAAGATGACCTTGAATACCTGCTCCATGTCTTAACTTCCCAAGTGCTGGGATTATGGGCCACCAACTAGGCTAATTTTAATATTTAAATTAAATTTTATGTTTTTGAGGCAAAGGCTCTTTCTATACAGACCATGCTGCCCTTGAGTTTGTGATCATCCTGCCTGCTTTCACAATGCTGTGTTTATCAAATGTCAGTTCTTAAGACAGTCTATGTGTGTGTAGTTATATTTAGAACTTTGAGGTTATTATTCAAAATAATGAGTTTTATCACATCTTCATTTACATGTTTCATACACGTGTAGCTCAGTTTTGCTTTTTTTCCTATTTTGAGGATCAAATCCTGCGTCTTGTACATCCTAGGCAAGCACTCATTCACACCACTAAGCTATATTTCCAACCTTTTTTTGTTGTTGTTTTCTTCTGAAACAGGGTTTCTCTGTGTAGCCTTGGCTGTCCTGGACTTGCTTTGTAGACCAGGCTGTCCTTGAACTCTCAGAGATCCACCTACCTCTGCCTTCCTGAGTGCTGGGATTAAAGGTGTTTGCCACCATGCCCGGCTGCCTTTATATTTTTGAGACAGGCTTTCACTATATAATCCAGCTGGCCTTGAACTTGACAGTTCTCTAGTCTCAGCTTCTCTAATACTGGATTATAGCAATGTGCCACCACATCCCATTTTTAAAACTATTTCAATTCTAAAAAGGTATCCTGCAGACATACTAAAAAACAATGTTGAAAGACTAAAACATGTCCCACCCTGAGAGAACCTTAAGAATAGTTAGAAATTTATGTCCTAATACTGTGATTAAAATAATTTCATCTGGTATAAAGACTACTGATAGTTAAGGACCTAAACCAGCCAATATTCCTTCTAACAAATATGACAAGTCACCAGTTACAGATTGTGGTTTTCGTTGGGGTTCAATGAAATATTGTGAGCTTTCAAGTTAAATATACACCAAAAATGTTGAAGTTAATATTAAACAAGAGCTTTCACATTGAATATAAAAGCAAGTTTACCACGTTTCAAAAACAAATGCCAAAAATAGTATCAAAAACCAAAAGGTTATTGGACACCGAGATAAATAAATCAGTGAAAACCTACTTCAGGAAAATATTAATTTGGACCGTTTCCAAAAAAATCTTAGAGAACATAGGTTTCCAATGTGCAGGACTATTGTGCACGAGATGGTAGCTTAACAACTGAACAAATCTTTCCTTTTTTGTAAACACTAATACCTATATTTCTAAAACCCATGTGTTGTACAATAAAATTTGAGAACAGAATGATGTTACCTAAGAATCTGCGAGGCTCTATTTAAGTAGTTCTGTGTCTGAAATCTCATACAAAGCTTTGAAATACAAAGCACATTAGTTAATTTATTGTAAAATTATTAAAATATCTAACAAAGTTATTTTAAGTAGGGACTTAGCTCAGTGGTAGAACACTCTGGGTTCTGCCTTCAGGTAAAAAAAAAAAAAAACATCTTAAAAAAAGATACCTAGCTTAATTTGTTTTTATTAGGTTGATATTTTAGAATATGGAACTGAAAAAAAATCAGCTGTGTGCTGAGTCAGTCAAGTATTCACAGAAATTCCACAAAGATGCCATTTATTTTGGAAACACTTTGCTGTTGTTTTCTAGGACTACCCACTTCAAGAAATATGATGTGCAGTAAGAAACAAAGTCTGACTTCATTTAGTTCTTTAAAATTTCTCATCACTTTGAACAACTCTCATTTGGAATATGGTGAATCCTTGAACACAAATGAAGACAAAACTATCAACAGATCTGTACTTGTTTGTGTTCTTTGTAGATACTAGACTACATTAATGAACACTCAAGGTTGATGGACCTCAGTGTTGATGGTATCATTTACTTACTGTTTAGATACAGGTGTTGGCTATTAGAATCCCTTTGTTAACTTTATCATCTTTTTAGGGACATGTCCAGGCTCCTGCCTGAGGAGCTTCAGCAGCCAGGCCAGGCTGTTGCAGTTTTGCCCCTTAGACATCCCCTACAGCTTTCCTTGGGTGCCCCTCCTCAGCTCGCAGATCTTCAGGTTGTGTTGCTGACCTTTCTACACCTCAGCACAGAAACACCTCAGGGCTCCAGAGTGGCTGAGGCTAAATCTCCACAGCCTGGTTACCTGAGATCAGATGACTGGAGAAACTGAGAAGCTGAAGCCACAGAGAATACAGCAGAACCCAAGGCCTCAGTTATGGATGCTGATGACAGGGAACTTGAGGGAAGCATGTCCAACTGGAACTAGTCTGTGAGCTCTGTTGCCAACTCTGTGATAACAATGTATAAACTAGCCATTCCCCCAAGCAGGAAGCTTTATGGGATTTGGCACTGTCAGGGACCAGGACCCGGACCACAAATTTAACCCTTTAATATTAGTTCATACTTTAGTTAAGGTAAATTGTTTTTTTCAGCTTAGAGTTCAAGTCTGTGTAAACTACTCGAGCCATGAGTTAATAGGTTCTCCCACTACACCTCTCTGTTATAATGGCAGTTCCAGTCTAAAACTGTCACGAAGGCCATCTCCAGTCCCTCAGTGGGACCCCGACTAGATTTATGCTAATTTTAGGTGACAAGTCTGAACAAAAGCCTACCAATCCTTAAGCTCTCCCCAAGCTCAGGACTTGAAATGCCACCAATCCTCACTCTGTAAATCTCTGCCCTAGAAAGCTCTGCTCCCCAAAAAATCCTGTATAAAGGCTGTGTTTGCTCAGTTCTCTGCTGTTCTCCCCCAGGGGAAAAGGCAGCCACTCCTAGATTTGTCCCTTCTCTCCTAGATTCATCCTTCCAATCTCTTTTAAGAGATTTGGGGCTTGTGATTCTCTCATTGGAAGAAGCCAAGAAACTCAGAAGAGAAGAAAAGCAGTGGGGCTTATGCTCCTGAGCTCAGCTGAGGTTGGGGAAACCCCCTTGGGAGCGCAAGGCCTCTGCTGAGGAGACCTCCTCTCAGAGCTGTGTGGTTCCTGGGCTCCTGTGTCTCAGGTTTCCCTTTCTTTAGGACAATGACCCACCTTAGTGCTGTGTGGTTCCCAGGCTTCAGAGCTGTGAGTTTCCTGGACACCTTCGCATTCAAGCAGGGAGTCCCACACCAGGAATGACATTGAGCTTGATGGTCCCTGCTATTTCTGAGACCTCTGAGGAGAGTGTGGTACATGAAAACATATATATTTAATTCTCAATAAAATGACATTGGTGAATCTAGTACCAGATGGGCTGGCTTAAGGCTTCCCCATGTAGAACAGGTCTACCCAGTATGAGTTCTCTGGTGTTTGATATGTGTAAAAGCTTAGCCACAGTCCCTGCACTTGTAGGGCTTCTGTCCTGTGTGGATCCTCTGGTGCTGAGTAAGGTGGGCGCTCTGCCTGATAGCTTTGCCACAATCCTGACACTCATAGGGCTTTCCTCCAGTGTGTGTTCTTTCTTGATGACTGACTGATAAGCTGTGGCTGAAGGATTTCCCACTGCATCCATAAGGCTTTTCCTTGGTGTGAATACTCTGGTGTTTTATGAGGAGAGAACTCTGGCTGAAGGCTCTGCCACACTCATTACGTTCATAGGGCTTCTCACCTATGAATGCTTCTCTCCTTTGATGCTGAATGAGAGGAGCAAGCTGGCTGAAAGCTCTGCCACAATCATTGCATTCATAGGGCTTTTATGCAGCATGAATTTGCTGATATTTTGTTAGAGATGAGCTGTGACTGAAGGCCTTGCTACAGTCACTGCACTAATAGGGCTCCTCCTCCATGTGGATTCTTTGGTGCAGAGGTAAGCGCTCTGCTTAAAGACCTTCCCACAGTGACTTCATTCATAGGGCTTTTCTCCTGTGTATGTCCACTCATGCTGGCTGAGAGAGGAGCTTTTCCACACTCTTTGCATCCATTGGGCTTCTTTCCAGTATGAATCCTCTAGTGCTCAGTCAGGAGTGTGCTCTGACTTGAAGGCCTTCCCACACTGGCTGCATTCATAGGGCTTTTCTCCTGTGTGGGTTCTCTGATGTTGAACCAATGGTATGATCTGGGAGAAGGCTTTTCTACACTCACAGTATCCACAGGACTTCTCACCAGTGTGGAATTGATGGAATTTGGTCAGGGATGAGGTGTGGCTGAAGGTCTTACCACATTTCCACAATGACAGGGCTTCCGTCCAGTGTGGATTCAGTGCTGAGTAAGGTGGACACTTTGCTGAAAGACCTTCCCACAGACACTGAACTCACAGGGCTTCTTATCTGTGTGAGTCCACTTCAACTTTATGAAGGATTTCCCACCTTTGCTACATTCATACGACATCTCACCTGTTTGAATTCTCTGGTGTTGGATCAGTGGGGCAATCTGGTTGAAGGTCCTTCCACACTGGCAACATTTAAAGGTTTCTTTTGTGTTTGGTTAGAGTTGAACTGTTTTGGAAACATACTCTATATTCACAACATCTATAAGGTCTTTCTTCTGTGTGAATTTGGTGATGTTCAATGAGTGCTAAGCAGTGTCTAAAAGCCTTACCAATTCCTGGCATTTTCAGTTTTTTTTTTCTTTTCTTTCTTTCTTTCTTTCTTTCTTTTTTTTTTTTTTAAGTTTTTGATTGGTTATTTGAGTCTAGCTTCTCTCTCTTTCATGTGTTTCCCACATGTAGGGGGTCTCACTTCTCAAAAGTCATTGGTTGAGCTGAGATATCAGTACCTAGACTCAAGTTTTCCCCAGCCGCATTCTCCTCTTTCTTCTAAGCAGGTATTTTCACAGCTGTGGCTGAAGGATTTTCCACATTCACTGCACACCCATAAGATTTTTCATTGGTGTGAATACTCTGGTGTTCAGTGAGAAGAGAACTATGATTGAAGGCTCTACCACACTCATTACATTATAGATCTTCTCTCCTGTGTGGAACCTTTGATGATGTATGAGGGCAGCAAGCTGGCTGAAAGCTCTGCTACATTCAGTACATTCACAGGGCTTTTCTGCAGTATGAACTTGGTGATGTTTTGTTATGGAAGAGCTGTGGCTGAAGGCCTTGCCACAGTCTCTGCACTAATGGAGCTTTTCCCCCATGTAGATTCTCTGGTGCTGAGTGAGTGGGATCACCTGCCCCACTTGCTGTTCTCATACCTGTGTTCTCGGGTACCTGCACTGTCTTTATCCTCAAAGTGCCATGTATTACCCCCAATTTTTCTGTCAGAAAAAATACTACTGGATAATTTTCCAGAGATTCTTAGTTTTGGATCCGAAAATCTGTTTGTCTGATTTCTAAATTTGGAAAACAAAACAAAACAAGAAATAGAAATGTCCCATAAAACCCTTCCCAAGAGAAAAGAGTTTCTGTGGCATATAGTTTGTGTGAATGGGTGTGTATGTGTGTGTGTATGAAGCGTGAGTTTGAAAAGATTAGTGCACAAACTTAAACATAGCTTTTATGGGGCTGCAGGGCTGTTTCAGTGTTTAAAACACTTGTTCTTGCAGAGGACCTAGGTTTAATTTCCAGCACCCACGTTCACCCACAACTGTAACTACAGTTCCAAGGAATCCAATGCCTTCTTCTGATCTGTGTAGGCACCAGGCCTGCACATGGAACACAGACATACATGCACATAAAATGCTCATATACATAAAACAAAATTTAAATTTATACATTTATATAGGTTTTAGCCAAAACAGTGGCACATACTAGTCTTCACATTCCTCAAGAAGCTAAGCAGTAGGAGTGGAAACACTGAAGTCTTTGGGGGGGGGGGTGGCTCACACCTCTAATCCCAGCACTCACAACGGGAGGCAGAGGCAGAGAGGCAGAGAAGCAGAGAGAGACGGAGAGAGACAGGCAGAGAGAGGCAGAGAGAGAGAGAGAGAGAGAGAGAGAGAGAGAGAGAGAGAGAGGCAGAGAGGCAGAGGCAGGTGAATCTCTAAATTTAAGGCCAGCCTGGTCTACAGAGCAAGTTCCAGGGCTACACAAAGAAACCCTGTCTTGAAAAGCCAGAGTTGGGGCTGGAGAGATGGCTCAGAGATTAAGAGCACTGGATACCCTTCCAGAGGTCCTAAGTTCAATTCCCAGCATCCACATGGTGGCTCATAACCATTTATAATGAAACCTGGTGTCTTATTCTGGCATACAGATAGAACAATGTATACATAATGAATAAAAACATTAAAAAAATAAAGATATCCCATAAAAAAAGAAAAGACAGAGTGTGTGTGTGGGGGGCATCCTGGACTACATAGGAAGACATCTCAAAACAACAACAAAATTCAGTTTGTTTGTTTTTCTCAAACCAGGAAATAAAAAGGATCCCTGCAGGGAAGGGATTCTGTCCATCTTGAAACAGTTGTACTCCCACTTACAGTAAGTGCTTGGCAGACAAACTATATGACAAAGATAATATTTCTAATCCTTCTTGAAAACTGATAAAGGACTATTGTTCAAACAGAATGAGACTACTCATTTTGTTTAAACACTTACCACATTTGTTCATTTTCTTAGCACTTACCAAAATCTATAACTTCACATATTCCTTACTTTTTATATCGTGTGACCTTCTTTCTGACCAAACATTAACTCTGCAAGATCTTAACTCAGTTTCCGTATCAAAGCTGGTGTAAGGGGGCTAGGATACAGCTCAGTGACAGGGGACTTGCCTAGGATGCGTGGGGCTAATCCATATTAGTTGGTTTATTCCTACATTTATTTTAGCTTCAGAGGAGTTGACACCTTGTTTTGGACTCAGCTAGCAACTGCCAACTGCGGCATACATTCAAACAGATACCTATACATAAGTAAAACTGAAACACAACCCAGGTGCTTTGCAAGAGCACTAAGTGCTCTTAACCACTGAGCCATCTCTCAAGGCCCTCCTTTGCCCTTTCTGCTAGATGATGATACAGCAAGGTGACAGCAATGATGAGTGAGCCCTCAAAAGATAGTGGTTCTTTTGGCACTTTGCTCTTGGAATTCCCAGCCTTCAGAACCGAGAGGAATAAATGTCTATTTTTCATAAGTGATTCCCTCTATTTTGTTACAGCAGCCCAAATAGACTGAAGATGGTGGTGGTAAAGAGTATGAGGGTTGCTCAGAACACAAAAGAATGACCCAGGTCTATCCTGAGATTTTAAAACCACTGGGCTGATAAGTATGTCTCACCTCATGTTTCTCTGCTTCTGGTATTTTCAGGTCAGGTGTGTGACATATAAAATTTTATTCTATTTGAAATTTTCTACAATTAAATAATCAAGTTCCTGAAGCCCAAGATACAGTCTGGGTATTTGCTTTTAAATGTACACCCTCCACCCATTTTAAATTCAGGAGACGGGAGTCTACAATGTGAACAGAGGTCAGGGAAAGGAAGCGGTCTTCCTAACAGAGAGCACTAGCCCAAAGGTCTCTAGCATCACACCGTGGTGCAGTATCCACTGGGAAAGTCCCAGCTGCCCCAACTCCTCCTAGGTGAAGAATAAGCCAACTCCTGAAAGGTCACTTGTTCACGAAACCACAGGAATGTCTTTAGCGGAGCCAGTTTAGACTAATTTCTGGTGGGGCAGCTGATTAATAGAAACACTAAGGGTTCTCTCCAGTTAAGAAGGTAAAAGTCAAATTTTCCTATGGAATCTAGGAGGCCTTGTGGAATATGTAAAAATGGAGCAATATCTCAGGCTAAAAAGTTGTTTCCAACAATTTAGATGATGAAAAATATTTAAAAAATATTTTTAATTCTGTATGTGTGGGAATTGGGGTGCATGTGTGTGTGCCTGCCTTTGCCTGCAAGAGGGCAGAGGCATCAGATTTGATTTCCCTGGAACCACAGTTACAGGTATTAAGTGTCACCTGATGTGCATACTGGGAATCCAGCATGGGTCTTCTCTAGGAACAGTATGTGCTGTTAATCACTGAGCAATAAAATAAAATGGTGTTGGAGAATTAACAATAAAGTGGTGAAGAATTATGGGCAAGTTAGGGTTCACTAGAAACTGCTCTCCTGAAGGTTCCCTTACAGCAGCTGTGTCTGGGCAGTGGCAAAGGGAGCATCTTCAAAATCTGTCAGGCTGGACCGCTGTGGGGACCTGTGGGGCCAAAATTATTCATGGATATTCTTATTTCAAATGCTTGGAACCAAAAGTATTTCACATTTCAAGCATTTCTGAAGTTTGGAATATTTGCATAATTTTTTGGCTTAAAATGTGTAAAGATTTTAGATTCTCAGATTAAGGATGCTTCAACCTGTATGCTTAATCTAATGAAACAAAAATCCTTGGAGGGGAAAAAGACAGCTCAAGAGAACATAATCCAGGTGCTGGAATGGTGATTCAGTGGTAAGAGCACTTACTGCTTTTGTGGAGAAACTGGGTTCAGTTCCAGGCACCTATAGCAGTCGAAAGCCACCTGTAACTCCAGTGAATCCTATGCCCTGACTTTTGTGGGCATCTGGCATACACATGGTGCATATATGTCCATGTGTAAAACATTTATACACATGATGGGGGAGCCATAATCCCAGTAACAAATGCTCATGTGGATGTGGAAAAAGGGAGCACTTATTCACTAAGGGACGTGCAAACTGGTACAGCTATTATGGAAATCAGTGTGGAGGTTCCTCAAAACGCTAGAAACAGACCTATGATATAATCAGCTATACCACTCTTGGGTACATACCCAAAGAAGTTTATTCCTACTGTAGAGATGCCTGCACATCCATGTTCATTGCTGCTCTATTCACAATAGTCAGGAAATTGAAACAGCCTAGATGTCTACAAATCAATGAATGGATAATGAAAATGTGGTACATTCATACAATGGAATACTATTCATCTACTAAGAAATATGAAATTATTAAATTTGGGTAAATGGATGGAGCTGGAAACAACCATTCTGAAGCAACCTGGATCCAAGAGGCAAGCTTCCTGTTTTCTCTTATCTGTGGGTGTTAGCTTTGGATATGTCTCATTTGATGTACCCAAAGAAGCTAGGACATTTGTAAAGGGTCTCAGGGGTAGCTGTGTGTGTGTGTGTGGCGTGTGTGCACACACTTTCATGGGAGGGATGACAGAACAAAGTATAATGGTACTGGAAGACTTAAATTGGGATGGGGAAATAGGAGGGCACCTCTACGGTGAAGGAATACCGGAAGGGTTAACTAACACTAAAGACATTTTGAAAAAGATCATGTAGAAACCTACTACTGCAGAAGCTTTTTATTGTTTCTTGCTGGATAGTAGCGATTCCCTTGTCTTGCCCTATGAGAACTAGGATTGTGGACACAGGCTCACCCACTGTCCAGCTGGCTTTACATGGGGTTGGGAATTAACTCAGTTCTTCATGTTTGTACTTTTCCTACTCAGCATCTCCCCAACTCCACATTTGCAGTATTAACGTAAGCATGAGAATGGTAACCGACACCCATTGCGGTACTCAGTTTAACCATGGAAGCTTGTTTCCTAGGTCTACGCAGCTGGGACAGAAGTTCTTCCCTTTGCAGTGCAGCTGGGCCCTTGGCCTGCACGCTATATTCAATCCTGGATTTCCCGAGGTAGGGACAGGCT